TGTATGTATGTATGTATGTATGTATGTATGTATGTATGTATGTATGTATGTATGTATGTATGTATGTATGTATGTATGTATGTATGTATGTATGTATGTTATGTATGTATGTATGTATGTATGTATGTATGTATGTATGTATGTATTTTTTATGTATGTATGTATGTATGTATGTATGTATGTATGTATGTATGTATGTATGTATGTATGTATGTATGTATGTATGTATGTATGTATGTATGTATGTATGTATGTATGTATGTATGTAATGTATGTATGTATGTATGTATGTATGTATGTATGTATGTATGTATGTATGTATGTATGTATGTATGTATGTATGTATGTATGTATGTATGTATGTATGTATGTATGTATGTATGTATGTATGTATGTATGTATGTTATGTATGTATGTATGTATGTATGTATGTACCAAAGTATATACGAGGCCGAAAAGATTCGGGGTTGTCGGTCCATTAGCAATGTTTTGCGCGAGCAAAGTGCGTGCGCGCACAGCTGTTACGGCGTAAACCACGCTTATATCTGCCAAGAGCAACAGAAGAACGCGGCGCGTGTGCATCCAAACAGGAGGCAGAAAAGACTACGGGGAAAGGAAGACGGCGGATATTACTCCATCTGAACAATCGATGTATAACGTTAAATATATCGAACCTCACTTCCTTGTTTAAATGAGATTACCTTCGTCCCGTGTGTGCGTGTGCATGCGCTACCATCATAAATCAAATCTAATCGAAGAAAATAACAAGTTCATGTGTGATCTCGCTTTTCGGAATGAAAAAATAATAATTGTTTAGTGCAGAGAGAAAAAAATGTACATCTTAAGAGAATAGAAGGAAGAATGTTAAAATTATTAATGTGTTTTATTATTCTCTCATATTTTATGCGTATGCATATCTATTTTTTTTCTATTTGTAATTTCGTAATTATCGAACCTTCCATCATGATTATAATTTTTTTGATTGATGTAAATTAATGTCTTATTACTTTTTTATCTTATTTGTATCACATCTATTTTTCCGGTTTGTAATTTTATAATCATCAAATCATTGTTATAATTTTTTTGATGTTCACTTAAGATTTACAATTTGTACAAAAGTTGTTAAAAAAAATTGATATTTCGAATTACGCATTAAATATGTTAATAATGTGAAACATTAAGTAGATTACACATACGAAATTTGCAGGTATAACGTTATTATAAACAAGCTAGAACGAATATAATTTTACGAATATAATTTAATACTCGCGCATAGTTAGTCGGTCAACCGATTTCATAATATTATTTTCGTGGTTCCAATCTGGTGCAATCTACATTTCGTAAGCATTTCTGTTAGACATATCATTATCCCCGTTTCTCGACAACTGCGAAACGCCTTCAAAAATTACTATGATTTTCGTTTAACTAAATCGAATAAAATGTACGAATACGAAATTCTCGATACGAAAAAAACACGGAATAATTTTTCAAGCATGACAAGATTTCATATCTACGTTAATATTATTTTTTATGTCTATTTCTTATTAAATAAGAATATTCAATAATTAGCTTAATTAATTATCCATTTTTATTACCATCAAAAAAGAATACATCCGAAAGTCTACAAATACGAAGAGTATGGCCACGCGATTCGAAAAAGAAGCACATAATCGCGACGACGTAATGTGTGTAAACTCGTAACGTGCACGTGTAGGCGTTCATGCGTAAGATTTCAACTCGAAAGCGTCAGTGTGGCAGACGCATAATACGTCGTACTGAGAAATAATCCATAGATGTGAGGGTGTCGCTGCCGTTTGGAGTCCGGCCAGAAAACGGAGGGAAAGGACGGAGGGGACAGAGAGGAAACCGTCGCCCACGTTTCGCGCATACCGTGCCGATAAATAATCGAAAGAGTCGTCCAGAATCACGAGTTGCCAAATTCATATCCCGCGAACGAACCGAATCTTGCGAAGGTCGCCGTCGCTGGACGAAATCTATATTTCGATTTTGCCGCTTATACACAGATGTCGTAAAAGCGAACCGCATACGTTGATGGTTGCGGAGAAAACGACGACGGCGATAATAACAGCGGAGGATGAATAAAATTGATGTACGATCCACCTGTTAGCGCGTCGCGTTCGCAATCTCACCCTTGCTTGGAGGCCTGGCCTAGATTTATAACGTTTATACAGTAAACTTTAAGTCGCTTAAAAGAGTTGCTCTTTAAAAGCCATTTAAATGTACCCTGGAACGTGGGCGTTCGCCGTCAATGTCCCGAAATTCTTAGACTGTTCTCATAATATTTAGATGTTGGTATTCTTCTCTCGCTCTGCTATTGACTGCCTTCAATCTAAAGCGTCGGTTTTAGGAAACGATTAATCACATCTGTGTACCGATTACGCACGTATCTCATTTGGCGCCCCGAGCGGAATGAATTCTGTGTGTCCGATCTATTGTCAAGACCGGCCATGGGATACCCGACGTAGTCAGGCTTAAATATAGACCCATGTTTTCCATCGACAGCTGCTCGACCCGATGTTTATGAGCCATTCGCGTATCTACGAATCACTTTTATGCCGTCGTGAGACGGGCGCTAAGATTTCGCGCCGAGGTCGTCCAAAAATTTGGCTCCAGAAATCAGACATACGTTAAGAGAAAACTGCCATTCGCCCGAGAGCGCTATAATAATCACGATGACGGCTGAGTAATTGCCACGAAATTACGGAATAATGCGTGTTTACGCAATAACGCAAAGCTATAAAACTGCGGTTGGAAAGCACTGGCCATAAATCGAAAAAAGCATCGCGGATTACGAGCAATACCTTCCTTCCTTCGTGGAGAAGAAGATAAATTTAGATCGAGATTTATCGATTGTCTTCTACGACACGGCAAACGAGCCTCTTCATGATCGTACGATTGTCAACGCCCACGATTGCCGACGATTTTATACTTATTGATCGCGAGAAAAAAGCATAGAAATAAGCTTCGCATTACGCAACCTGCGATCAAGAGACATGGAAATAAAAAAGAAAGAAAAGGAACCAAGTCTGCGTCCGATAAACCGAGAAAATAGCATTTTGTTGTCCTTCAGAGTTATCATTTCTTCTCTTTAAAATACGAGAAAAGATGGCTACAAAAAAATGGACGATATATTACGTTATATGCGTTCAGTATGAGACAAATCTTAAGCATACAACACATACTTCAAATTTTTCAGCAAAATCGCATCATCGTTTTTATATTCGAAACGAGATTTATTTGTTTTATACTCGTCAGATACCGAGAGATTTGATACGTATCCAAAATGAAAGTTAAACAAATATAGAAAAATGAGTTTTAATATTTAACTTTGCAATACATATGTAAAGGAAGCTGTATTTCGCGAAAATTTAAAATTTAGTAAGCTTTGTAAAATAACATAAATTTATAAACTAGGATAGAAAAAATTCGATCTCACGTGTGACTGTTGATATATTTTACTTCTTTTATAATTAATGCAATTTGATGAGTTAAAAGACGATTTAAAAGAAAAAAAACGGACATTTATTAAGAATGCTTGTCGGAAAATAAAAAAATGTCTGGCTTTTAAAATATCATATATCATTGTGTTAGGTTAAAAGCTTTCTGACTTAGGTTCGACCATCGAAAAAAATCTACTTTGCGTATATCTGATATATAATTAGCTCTTCGAAACGCCTGCGGAAATACGGTACATTTGTCATCTGTAAAGTCGGTCCTCCTTGAAAACAAGGGTATTTCCTATCCCAGATAGGAAAACGATACGAATTTTAAGCCATGCCATGATACTTATGGCGAATGTCTGGCTGTACTTTACAACGGTATTTATAAAACTACCAACAGATGCGGCAATAAAGAAAGCGGACGCGATCCTGACGTAAAATTATTGAGGAAAGTAAGTAGGCCAATACCAGGAAAAGAAGTGATTTAGCATACTTGTACGGTTCGATGTTTACAGGCGATTTAATCACGAAAGAAATTCAAATAAACCATCGCACAACCCTATACCACGATCTTGATTCTAAACTCGAATTTTAAAATAGAAACTATATTTCTAAAGGCTTTTTTAGATGCGATCACTCACGCGAATTCCGCGTAGTGTTTTGAAAGATTACGCGAGGTATGCAAAAGTCGATGGCTAATCCAGGTGGATAATCGTCAACCGCATCTGCGAGATAAGAAGGTGAATAACCGTGAGTAAAAATACTATGGCACAGAGCGCGAGAGGTGACGGGAAAAAGGGCAAGACAAGGATAGAGGGATGGAGAGAAAAAGCCTGAGGAAGAGAACGAGATGAGTGGAGGAGAAGGAGTACAGTTGGACGTGGTCGCCGCCCGATCCGGAATGCGCTTTACGCATTCATTCGTCTCAAGCGCGGTCCAAATGTCCGGTCGCAGTCGTGGAATAAATGACCTACAAATAAAATAGAGTCCCATTCCGATTGGGATCCTTCGCATTGGAGAAAAAAATTACTTTCGCTTTACCGACCATTTAATATTAATTAGAATCAAATTGTTTATAATTAAAATGACTCACAAATTGAATAATTCGTGTAATTAATCCGTTAAAATTCTCTATCCTTAACAATTTTATTATATTCTTCTTATAATATCAATCTTAAAAAATCTTTAAAAAAATCTCGCGCGAGCGTGGGAAATAATATTTTTCAAAAAACGCCCGCGATGTAATTAATGACGAAGTCTTGTAAAGAGGCGAGTCAAGTAGGATGTTGCTTGCCTACATTCAGTAATGCGCTACTTGACTCACTTATTTAACGATTTCGCATGAACTCAGTGCAACGTAGCGTCTTTCGATATATTCTTAGAGGAGCGCTAGAGGGGTTAATGGGAATGAACACAATCTTAATTCAAACTTTGCACTCTTTATTAGTCGACATAGATGTTAGTCGCAGGTATCGGGGTGCGTTAAAGGTTAGCGAGGGACGCAACCATCGCAACGTGGTCCAGTCACGCGTGTCGTACCGTCACAGTGTTTACAGCGCTTTGCCCTCGGCTCAGGCATTCTGCGGTGACCTCGTGATCTCACCGATATTCCATCGTTGCTTTATGCACTTCGCGCACAGACACGCACGAGCGCGCACCTTCACATGCACTCTCCTTTTTCTCCGCACCTCTATTCGCGACGCGCCGAATTATTATTCTAGTTAGACTCGAGAAAAAATTGCCTCGACGCGCAGCTCGCAGCCGTATTATTACACGCACTATCCGTGTTGATGATCGATCAACCTCGAGGATTATCCTCGCGGTTATTTGTGCTCCCATTCAAAGTCGCGCCATGATTCATCGAATTGTTTTATCGGAGCACGTCTATTTCTAGATTAGAAGAGTTTTATGTATATAAAGTTTTGGCGAGCAGTAGCTCGCGTTTCAACAGAGTTCGATTTTTCTACATAACAGTTTAAGAGTCATATTCTGGCGCCGCCATGACAACGATATGTGCGACATTGAATGCGGCGAAATCTATCATTGATTAACATTCGATTGGGAATTGAGAATACGCCACTAATACCGTATGTTTTCTGTGCGAGCATTTATGTACAATTTCTCGAAAACAGTTTTCACCGATCGAGACTAGAGGGAATGCAGTTTCGTCTATCTGTAGGAATGCTACGTTGCACTTCATAGACGCGAGATAAGATCGCACTTGCTAAAGATTAATCCTTCGATTTGTCATCTTAGGACTCAGAGTCACTTTTCTCTTACATCGTACCGCTCTTCCTGTCCACGCGTCTCGATCTCTCGACACGCAATCACCGTTGTCGCCCTGACAATCAACAACCCGACATAATAATTATCGAAAGAAGATTTCAGAACAATTTTCGTTCTGAATTTCTCTCGCACGAACAATCGTATTTCTTTCGCTCCTATTCGCGAATAAAATCTTCGAGGGAATTTCCGGAATCACCGACAAGAGAGAACGTCAACAAAGCCTAAAAGGATATTCCCCGAGTGATTCCAATTCCTTGTTCCCTCTTTCTGACGTGTCGAGATTATATAGTCTTTTGGTACGCTCGACGATTATGACTCATTCCCGATATCGATATACCGCTGCGAGTCGCGCAACAATCGAGTAGACGAGGGTGTCGCGGGTGGTGTATCACATCGCGAGGTGGAGGACGTCGTCCAGGTCGTCGTAGTAGCGCCTCGCAGCCATGTCACACGCGCACTGACGGACGCCCGTCGTGTCGACGCCGACGCTGACGCCGGGACGCTGCCTTCGGCCGGACTCGGTCCACCATCTCGGGAAGCGTCGGGACGCCTGTGCTGGCGTCGTGCCAACGTGCGACCAGGCTCTGACTCGATCGATCCTCGCTAGAAGGCGCGTTAACGCCGTCTTACGAAATCTCGCCGGTGCCTTTTTATGAGATCGCGAGCGATTCTGCTCGATTAGAGTCTCTGTTGTTTATAATGTTATTTATAATTATGTTTGTTATTAAGTAATTATTTATCTAATTTATGTATGTAAAATAATTTGTATTTAATGTAATTATATTTAATATAATAATTTGTATATAATTTATTTATATAATTATTAAACTTTCATAACATTAAACTCTTGAAGGTCGCCGGTAAATAAAATAAAAGACGTAATTAAAAACGACCACACTGGCAAATTTTATTAAAGTGAAGAATCACGATGTTTCGACCATGGGTTTTGGTCCTTTTCGAGTGAAAATAATTTAGTTAACTATTCACTTCGTCAAGATTATCATGTCAACGTCTCCATCAACACACAGATAAAAATTGTATCTGTGACGAAGTGATTTCCTCATTTCTCACGATAGAATAGTTAATTAAATTATTTTCACTCGAAAAGGACCAAAACCCATGGTCGAAACGTCGTGATTCTTCACTTTAATAAAATTTGCCAGTGTGGTCGTTTTTAATTACGTCTTTTATTAAACTTTAATTCGATGAAATCAATAATAGTTGCATTTTGCAAAGGTAAGAATCGAATAAAATTGAAATTATCAAACTTGTTATTAAATATTGATTATGATACGCGTTATTTTGGACAATGTATGCACCTATTGATTCGAATGTTTCTAAAATTTCATTGGATAAATATCTCGCTGTGAAAAAGTAGTATCGCAAAATAGCGGATGAATGAAAAAACTGTTGATATTTTTTAGAAACCGACTCGATGACATTTTCTCTCGTAGACCACTATTGCGTCTAGTTATGACGCTACAAAAGCTGCGAAATGAGCGCGGGTAAATGATTTATGAACAACAATGACGTTGATGACAATAACAGTGCCAAAAGCTTCTTCAGCTTCGCGTGAGACTTTCCTCGAAACTCAATTCACGACGATTAGACGAACACTCGTTAAAGTCCCATCGTATAACACGGTCGTCAGTCAATACGGCTCGTTGAGAATTCGATGGCTCCTCGCGAAAACACGAGGGAGAGGAAGACGATGGAGGAAGGTCGAGGGGAAAGACAAAGAGAAGCGCAAGGTGCTATACGACTAGATAGTAGCGAGTGGGCGTTCATCTCGGTTTATCTCGGCGAGAGTGACGTCATCGCCGGTATAAAGGAGAGACTCTAAAAGCGACCAGATGGCCTTTATAGTTGACCGTAGACTGTGCTACCGTTCGCTATAACAATCGCACACACATATATATATATTATGGAAACGCGAAAAACGCCACCATTATCACAGTCGATTTGCGTTTCCATCTCGCGAGCGAGAGAATAATTTTCGATAATCACGATCGTCAAACCTGCAATCTTTCCTTCTATGCGAGAACTTACGTAATCCACGCAAATCGCATATATATAATATTTTTAATACTTACTAATCTTACGACAGGACAATATTCATTATGTTTCCAATTAAATTCTCTTTTCACGCTTATCCTCTTTCGAAAGAGAAAGAATTAAAAAAAGAGAACTGAGACGAGACACAAAGTCTTTGTTACTCGAACGTTATAAAAGCGCGAAGAAACGTATACGATGTACCTCCGTCCATCGTATCGGCCACTAAAGGGATTGTATTTATATCGGGTTTAATTCCCATTGCAATCGCGAATATTGTGTACGTCGTACGTCAGCGTCAAAAGACGCGGTTAAGTGCGATCGTTAAAAAGGATATCTCGTAACTGAGTCGAGCAAGCAACGACTTTTTCCAGCATTATTTCTTACGACCGGCGGGCAGTTTAAATGAAAAGACCTCGGGAGAGAAAGAGAGGGAAGAGGGGTGGGATGACGGGGGAAGGATGCCCGGATGAGGAAAAAGAAACGGAGGCGGAAAGAAAAAGAGAGAGAGAAAGTGAGATAGAGGGAAGAGAGAGAAGTTTTATCGCGCCAACAAATAAACGTGCGCCACGACGGCGTCGAGAACAGGGAGGAAAAAGAGACCGCGAGAAAGTAACGAAAGTACATTTTATAGAGTTCTGGGTGGCAGTGTGTTGCCGGCGCAAGAACGTACCTTACAAGTTAATAAATTCCGAAGTTTCCCTCCAGGGCGACGGCACCACCGGGCGCGTCCCGGACCATCTCCGTCGTTGCTTTTATCTCGACGCGTCGCAAAGAGGGGTTTCACGTTTTACCGCCAAGTAACGACGGCGATTCTTTTACTAAATCATGCGTTCATAAAACGGCGAATCCGCGAATTAATAAAAAACGCGCGCCGCGATCGTCTCGTGTAAATCAAGCGGCGAGTTACGATCTGAGATCATCGCAAAGGTAGCGCGTATGTCAAAGTGCTATACAAAGGATGCGACTTAAAATTCCCCTTACGAAGCTAAGGCGTCGCGAAGGGAATGTGATCGATGATACCGAAAACGTGTACGTTTTTTTGGGCAATATATGAGAGAATTATTTTTTGAACGCGAGAGACGAGAAAATAAAAATCTCGACTCGATCGCGAAGCCTTTACGGCGTTTGTTCTTTTCTCTTTTTGTAGTCACGGGTCAACGGCGATTACTTACGTCGCCGTGTGTGCGCTTTTCGAGGAGATACACGGCGACTCGAATGTTTGCAAGGACAACGGGCGCGCTGAGGCGAACGCTTAAGGTAACCGGTGCACAAGAAGCATTGCCTAACGGTGACTACCAAACGGCCTAGAACGGCCTTCGGTAACTGCGAGTACGCAACGGCTGACCAACCAGGGCATAGAAGGCGGTTACTACTTAAGCCGTCGTCGGTTACCGTATCACGCTTCGTTAAGCGTCTCTCTTTCTCTCTCGTCGTCAAGAGCGAGCCGCACAAAGCCACCAATGAAGCGTAATAACGGTCGGCGGAGGCGACGAAAGGATACTAATGAAAGGCGATTAATTAGGCGAGCTTCGCAAGTTTACGCGGTCTTTTAGCCGAGATAACGAACCACGGAGTGTTTTACACAATTAAGCGCGACGCGAGTTTCGGGAGCTGCGGCGCTCTTTGGTATTTCTCCCCAACAAGAGAACAACGAGATCAAACTTTAACCTAATTAAGGAAGAGAATTCGGCCGTATATCATGCCACCGGGGAGAAAGCGATGACGAGAGATAAAGGCGCGAAGAGAGGCGCGAGCGGCAGCGTGAATTTATTTTTCACCTTTTCTTGTATTTCTTCGCGCGCTTGTTCTTTCCTTTTTTATTACGCCATCGCGCGTTGTAAATCGTATCTTTGTGGTATGCCGGAAATCCGACCAAAGGTGAAAAAATTTATGAGAATTAAATTCGCAGGGATACTTGGGGAATCAACTAGACGGAGATAAATAAATAAGTTAAATTATGCCGCGTTGGGAATAAATTTTCAGAGAACATCACATAATTTATCAGTCAGCAATTAACATAATTAATAAATATCACCTTCGGTATCACGGTTAATTAATAAGCTCGAATAAGTATAAGCTATAATAAACATGTCAACGTGTTCTCTTAATATGCGCTTCCGAAAATCTCGAGTCGTCCGCTTATATTTATAGGCGTGAGTTTCGCCAAGGGACTCCTTGCCAATCTCTTAATTTTTCGCGTCACGGCTGCGATCTGCGCTCATCACTTCCGGACGCGTGCGATCATTCTTCTTCCGCGCGCGAGACTTGCTCTTCTTTTGTTAGCGATTAATAAATTCTCCGGGGCTTTGCCTACCCTCGGCGTGCCGATGCCACTCAAGAGAGTTCGAGGCTCTCGGGGCGAGGATTAATGTGCCGCGAGGATTTATGTGCGCGATGTCGAGTGCAACTAGGTCATAATAGCGCTCATTAAACCTACGTAAGGCTCACCTCCACGCGCGAACGCGCGTGCCTTCACCCTTTCGAAGACACGCATACGAACGCGCGGACGGTGATGGCGCGTGGGAGGGCTGAGCGCCGCGGACAAAAAAGAAAGGGTTGAAAAAGTAAGAAAAATACGGATCGTGCGGCAAGATCGTAGCTAGCGCGAGGAAAAGATTGAGTGAGTGAAAGAGGGTGAGGGAGAGAGAGAGAGAGAGAGAGAGAGAGAAAGAGACAGAGGGAGGAAAAAGAACGAGGCGAGAGACAGCACCGAAAGAAACGAAGTGGAGGCACGCGCGGACAAAAATACGACGATCGCAGGAAACGGTGAATCAAACGGACAGCAGTCGGCCGTTGCGAGGGTGTTTTTGTAACGATCACGACTCATCCCCCCTGCCCTTTCTCCCGCGATCGTACATCTCAATGTTACATCTAATGTTACATCCAAATTATTATAATGTGTACGGATATTTGGAGCAAAATTTTTAAAATCTTAAATTATTTGCATTTATATATGATAGAAATATTTTTTGCACTGAGAAAAAAATTTGTTTGCATTAATTAGAAATTTGATAGATTCAACCAATATACCTGTTGGAAAATGAACGAATCAGAATTCTTTAGGAATTACCAGACGAGTATGATTAATTTCTTCCTGTTAAATTTATCAAATTTTCCTGATATTAATACTAAATTTAAAAAAAATGGCATCACTGTGTTCATGTTTAATTAATATAATAAGATTTATTTATAGATTTTTATTTATAGTTCCAACTAGAAAATACTAACCAAATCCGTATAAAGTCTAAACATTATAGTTATAAAAAATCAAGTCTTATCGTGATAACTAGAAATTCGTTCGTTTAACCAAATCAAAATGCTTTCTATCATATACGTTTTATTGGTATAATCAAACGATTTTTCTCAGTGCAAAAGACTTTTGTAATTAATACCGATACATTAGAATTCTTATATCTTTATGTTGTTAAAATATGATTTTTAGAGCATTAGAGAGTACTTATCTAA